CGGGCCGGGTGCGGAGGCTTCCCTGCGCCCTTGTTCTGGGGGGCAGGTGGGCTCCGAGGCCCTGCTTTGCCCACTGGGGCTGCCGAGCTGAAGCGGGCGCTCCTGGGCGCGCTGGAAGCCGTACTTGCCGTTGTTAAAGCTTTGCTCAGGGAAGGACTCGGGACGTCTTCTGCAGTGGTCCGTGGGGTGAGGGCTGGGATCAGGCCTCCGTCACCCGGTGGCCATCGATTAAAAGGCCCAAATCGTCTGCCATCATTCTCACGTTCAGCCAACGCCTAGGAGTGCTAGACGTTTCCCAGAATTTCCGCAAGACTCCCTATTTTCCCTAATTGCATTTTGCACAACTGCTGGGAGGTTGAGTCTCTGTCCAAGCCGCTTTGGCAGGCCGCCCCTGAGCCCAGAATGGCCTTTCAGACCAGGCTTGGCCTAATCCCGCTTTTCAGCTATCTCTGCCTCCCAACAGCAAGGCGGTAAAGCTTGTTGTACTCTGATTTCTCTTATTTTTTAGCTGTCATAAAATACTTGTAGTGCTGATCGGTCCTAATCAATGGCTAGCTATAGCCTGCCTATAATTCCCATTTCCCTCATGACACGTGGTGCCTGATGGCAGCCAGGTGACAGCGGTGTAAAAGTGATGGGATACAACAGCATACACCAGTCTAGACACAATCTGGGGACAGAGCAGCTCGAGCCAGTTCTAAGAGGTAATATGGTACCCACTTTTTCCCCTCATCGCTAACTTTGGAGCTATCCAAGAGCAGATCAGAACCAGGTCATACGGTCATATGTCTACACAGCGTGGATGAGAGGCAAGTTTGTAATCAAAATGCAAAGCAGATCTATGCTTTTGCTCAGGCTCACTATTGTCAGCTCTTACAATTTTGTCACAAGTTCCATAATCAGCATTCTTAAAGCTCCTTGGAGCAAGTGATTATGCAAGAATTTCAGCTTATGTTTTCACTGTTGTGAAATAAAGCTTGAAGATGGGAGTGGAATATTTGTTTCAGACTCAGAAGTAGAAAACAGAGATAAGGTCCCAAATGGATGCATTTTTTAAGAGGTGAGGTAGGGCTAATTCGTAGTTGTGAATCTTTGGGGTTGAAACAACTGGAGGCAAGCAGAGGAAGGAAACTAAGCCAAAGAAATGACTGATTCTCCAACTATGTGCAAAAAGGGAAATTTTCACATGGAGAAGACCTCTTGCGCCCAGAGTGGTAGAGTGCAATTAAGGCCAGGATGAGGTCAGCTGGTAGAATCTAACATTGGCCTACCCTAAAGTGAAACAAAAAGAAAAGCGGAGATGAGTACCAAAGAGTCTACCAGTAACAGCAGTTGCTCCAAATGCCAAAGGAAAAGGGGTAAAAATTAAATATTGCTGCCCAGTTAGATGATCCTGCATTTTGGAAAGATATTCAACTGTTACTCATCTTTTGTTTCAAAATCAACCATGGCTCTTAATACAGAGCCTCTTTTTCTTAAAAAATGATCCCACATAGTTGATGGATGAATTATCTAATGTATGCAGACTGAGAATTGTGATGCTGCTCTTCCTCTGAAGTATCTTAAGCAGTATATGAAAGGCTTTTCAGACAGTAGGAGTTGCACAGAGTTAACCAGAATAACTGCTGTGTTTGCTGTAGAACTTAAGGTGGTTAGCATGACTAAAGGAAATGGAAAAAGTTCTTACATGGTGTAAGCTAGTGAGTAGCCATGCAGCAAAAGGGTTTTGAGGAGATGCCTTTACTCATGGTATGTGCATAGGAGCCATTCCACAGTCCTTATTCAGGAAAAGGGCTCTAAGAGTTTGTACAGTAAAGACTTCACAATCAAGTATGTAGCAGGAAAAACCTCTCTTGTTGAGCAAGTAGCTACCGCCAAGATTTCCCCTACAACTATGTTTTCACCGCAAAGGTTTCTGCTTTACATGATTTTTATGAATAATATATTTGTGTTATCTCCCTAAAGTTAATAAGTATGCTTTCTTGACCCTCCTAGGATAGGGTGGGACCTAACTTCCATTGCACCATCCTGGGAACTTGGAAGCTTCTCTGGTGTTAGTCCCTGAAGCTAAGGCAAGAGAAACTCTCTTAGAAGTTTCCCCGGCTGGTGTCATTTCAGTGAGGAGAAGAAGGAGTAGTAACCTGACCGATGAAGAGGCTGGAGAAATAGAAGGAGGGATGAGGTGATACAATGTATGATTATCATGATTCAGAAATATGAAAACATGAAACTAGCAACTGAGAAGTGGGGAAGACGGGACCAACAGGAGCTGAAGGAATTAATAGGCGACAGTAGCCAAAATAGAAGGGAATGAGGAAGAGGGGATCTGGAAAGACAAAAGAAGGATTTATAACCTGTGTAGAACTGAAGTCAGTCAGTCTTCCCAGAATTGAAGTCAGGATTTCTGAGTTTCTGTGTTGTGCAGCAAATGATTAGAAATACCCTATTTTCCACATAAAAGACAAAATATTACCTCTGCCAGTTTCTTCTGTTCAAGTAGTAAAGTAGTCTTTGTGACACTTCAAGATCCAACGCTGCTGATGACCCTTGTGAAGTGCATGAGAACGTCGTCATGATTCCATGCAGTAATTATCTGCTCTTCCTAAAAATTCATTTTTATGTTATATATTAGAATGACACTAAAATCACTTTTAGTTCAGATAAGGATCTCATTTGCTATCTCTTCTTTCATTTCTAAAACCTAATCCATCCTATGAACGAAATAAAAAGGGAAACTTAAGGAACAAGTACTGTATACTTCAAGACTGAATTATATTTCAAAGAGCTGAATAAGGTTGTATAAGCAATGTTTCTTCTGGCATTACTTGTTTTTGCATGCTTGATGCTGTCATAATTTACATTCATGATATATGTTAGAAATACATATACCTGCATTCAGTTGCCAAAAATATATTTGAGAGAAAGCAAATTGTGTGCCTGCCTATTTGTCTGTTTATCTAACAGAGAGGAATTGTTTCTAATCAGAGAAAGGGGTTTTACCGGAGATGCAGAAAGTGATTCAGTTTCTGAACTGATTAACTTTCACAGTCAGAACTTTCTAAATTATCATAGGAAACATCAGAAAATGCTGGCAATTGATGTTAAAAACCTTAAAATGAGACTCACACTGCCTACTTACTAACAAGTATGAATTACCTCATCTTTGAAGAAACGATACAGTTGCAGATCTGGATTTGTCCAGTCTTTCTGCGTTTTAGGAGGGCAGAGGAAGCAAACTAAGCTGAGAATTTGCAAATAATAAAAAACAGGACTCCCAAGATAGCCTACCTTCATCTCCAGTTTCCCTAACACTACCACAAAGATGTAGCATTGCTTGAGGCTCTAGAAACTCCATTTCAGCATGTCTTCTTCATGTTATCATGTAGAAAACTTAATCCACTCCTGCTCTTTCTCCTCAAGATAACACTGTCTAAGTGTTTGCTACAGTAGCTATCATCTGAATAATGCCTAACAGTTTTAACTGGAATGGAGTTTCTTCATTCTCTTCCTGTATTTCCATTGTTTTTTCCTGGTTTTATTTTTCTTACGTCCACCTTTAATGTTCAATGTTAAGACCCATTTCCTTCAGGACGGTAAAAAAGTACTAAATATAGATTTAAAGCTCCTTATAAAAACTCATGATTCCCTGAGCTGACAGTCTGGCTGTGTGCATTGCGAGCAATATTTACAGGCCCAACCATCCAGGTTGAATTCCTAGAAGCACAACACATTCCACAGAAACCACAAAACTGACTCATTCAGTGTACTTCAAGTAATAACTCAGTAAAGTATGTAATAAAACCTCAACCCAGATACTTAAAGGTTTGGTGCATCTAAAGAAAAACTTACATTTTCTTCATTAGACTTTGAATTAAGACGGAGGTCCTGATGTATTCTTGATACCGTATATCAGCTTTGTTAGATGGAGAGCAAAGCTTTTAGTTTAAAAAAAAAAAAATGTTCTTATCTTTGTCTAGTGAAATTATTGTCGTAATCCAGTTATTTCTTATCATTTTTGACATTTGCTTCCTTTTTGCTTGCACTGTGAAACCAAATCGTGAATTTCACTTTCTATTTATAGTCAGTTTCCCTTTCTGATTATCACACTAAGTTAGTCTGGCTTTCTAAAGCCATATGACTGATGCTATGTGTAAGCACTGGAGTTGATCCAGATGGAGCAAGTTGCAGGATGGTAATGTGAAACTAAAGCTCTTAGAAAAATATTGACAGCTTAAATTTTTCTTTTTTTTCTTTTTTTTTTTTTTGGTCAAGACTCTGTTCCTGCCTTAGTCTTGGTAGGATCCCTCAGTAATTTTTAGTTGGACTGTACCTTGAACTTAGTCTGGGTTGATAGACATATTATCAGAAGGGGACAGTGGCCCTACCGATCGTACTGTAACTGGCATTAAATTTTCTGCCAGCAATAAAAATTCTTGTGCTAATTGCATATGTGCCTTTCATCGCTTTACAAACAGTTCGTGTTGCTGGAATTACAAAATCATGCCATTTAACAAGTGTGAGGCTGATGAGGTTTTGACCCCCATCTTAGCATTAACCAGTGTAACAAACCTTTCAGTTCTCTGAAAAGAACATAGCTTTGTTCATGTCTATCAAATAGGCTTGTAAATCACGAATATAAAACATACACAGAGTTGTAAATCACTCATGTGTTCTGTATCAGGAAATTATACTTAAGACTTGTTATCCTAGTGAGAACTGCCAGAATGAATATCTGAAATAATAAATTAAACTTATGACAGCCTGGCATATGGTTCCTAACTTCTTTTGAAAGTACTGCTTACTAAGGCCAACTTCTTTTCCCGCTATTATAAAACAGAGGATTTATTGTGATCTTGTCTAGACGGTTGTGTCTTTGAAGAACATTTTCAGCCAGTCAAGGTTCATAAATAAACACAAAATATACAAATACATTCTTTTCCTCAAGGAGATGGTCAATATGTTTATTAAATCCTCTAAGAAATGCAGAAAAGTTGAAACTGCAGATCAGTAATACAGTGATAAAAATAAAGGCTGAGATTCAAAGGTGGTAGAGAAAAATACCTTTATTTCAAGGTCTGAGAATAAAATCTCATTCGATATCTTTAATCACAAAATATCTACATAAATCAGGGTAGTTTCATTGAAGTCAGTCAGCATTCTGTTACAAGTTCCAGTGCCTCATGGATGTGTTTTTCTATGTTTAATTAATCATAGGAAACAGTCTTTTAATTACTAACAAAAAAATTCTGTCTTGCTATTCATGCTCACGCTGAACAGTACCTTATTCTTTAAATAGTTTCATTGAAGTCCATGACATGGCCAAGTCAATAACACGGTTCAAGTCAATGAGACTGCTAAAAGAACTAAGGTATTCCTCAAAATGAGGGAGGGGAACAGAACAGGACCTAAAGAAATCTGTGACTGTATTCCAAGTGCCCTTTTTATTTCCGCCAGTTCTCTCTCCATGGTGCAGTCTCTAAGACTCCTTTGTTCTTTTCACAGAATAACCCCTACCAGCACTGATGAAAGCTCTGTGAACACACACTGTCTCAACAGCTGTTGAAGGAACTATTTGCTCTGTGTTTATTCTTCCAGCTACAGTCTCATTAAGGCTAGGCAGTACAGTTTAGTGTTTAGGAACTTGCTCTTTTTTCCTTTGTGATCTTTTAGTTTTGACTTCATTTTTCTCGTAAAAGGATGACATCAATAATCTGCAGCAGATTCACTACTATTTTAGGAGCAGATACAGTAATGTATCTTACCAGTAGATCATTTCCAGTCTGCTGCACTTTTTATATGTGTTTATATTAATATCATTCTAGCTTTTTATTTTAAAATAATATTAAATACAAAAATACTTGGACAAATGATTGCTTCCAAAACGCAAGGCTACAGCACAGTATGGAGCGGAGACAGGACAGGACAGGATGAACAAACCCATCAGTTGAATTTCATCTCACTGAAGTCTAGCCATCTTAAAAATAGGCTTTTAGTGTGAGCGCTTTGTTTAGGCTCCTTCTAGTTAATGAAGAAAGGTAAGAACTTCAGAGGGCAACTAATTCAACATGTTTTAGGCACTTGTTTTAGGGTGCACACGTTGCAAAATCCAACACAATTGTGGGTGCTGGGCCTAGCGTCTTCTCCCTTCTGCAGTCGTGCCTGTCAGGAATGTGCAGCTGGAGGCCTGGAGAGAACTGGGACCATCTTTTCGCTCCCTGGCTGCACTTCGATCACATGGCGCATGTGGTTTGGCCAGCAGCTGATCTAACAACTCATGACTGTAGAAAGGATGGTCCTAGACTTCCCTCCCTCCTCTTTCTTTTCTCCTTGCCAGCCTCCCCAGCTTGTCCTACCTCTTTGTTTGTCAGCTTTGCTGCATGTCTGACACCTCTGTGACCCAACTGTACTTACTAACCCACTAAAATCTATTTACTTTTTTAAGTTTCATTTTCTGCTAGGTTAGTAAGGGGAACCAGGTCACAGAAGGCCTTAACAAGTGCCACAGTCATTGCAAAGAGAGGTAGTGGTAGCATGCAGCTGGGAGCAGGGAGGGGAGCAGAAGATCTCTCCAGCTGGTGGCAGTGAACTGTTAGCCTGGCAGAGCCCATTTAGTGCCTTTGGCTATGGTCTGACAAACACTTTTCACTAACTGGTTGAAAGAAGCGGTCCCGTTCAGTCATTTTTGCCCAGCATTGCTCCTGTCTGTTGTCCAGTCACCACTGGCACAGTCTCCAGATCAGAGATCTGATCCAACTGAAAAATAGCTGTGAGGGGAGAAAGGAGAAAGTAAGAGGGCTTGTTTTCAGATATATCAGCTCCCCCTCAATTTTACCAAACGCTTGTGCCGATAAAAATGAGAGGTTCTATGGGGGTGGGAAGAAGCCAGCAGCGCTGGGCAAAGGGCCCTGAGGAAACCACTTCTGTCAGTGGTGGTGCTCATTTAGGCCAGTTTAAAGTTTCTTCCAAGCTACAGCCTGAGCATGAGGTTAATTGTCCCTGCAGGCATCCACGTCTCTCAGCTTACTATAAAAGGAATCTAGGTATTAGCTCTTGGCTGGTATGAGTTAGGTGAATAAATCCCATTCTTAGAATCATTTGCCTGATTTCCTGTTTCCATTGGAATCAATAGAAACCACTAGTTTTTAATATCTCATTGGTATATTATAACAACCGTTCCTTTGATAAAGTACAACATTTTAAATACATCCAAATTCTTCTTTCTAAATTTGCATACATTTCCCTGGCATAGCCTAAAAACACGTTTTATTTATTTTAGGTATTAGTTCCAAACAGATGTCACATGAATAAGCAGAGAGGACCAGGTAGGTGTCCTTCATTTGTCACGCACTGGTTTCTTTTACCAAAATACTTTCAGAATTCAAGATGACCTCTTCTAACAATGAACTATTTATAGGATTCGTAAGGGCCTTATCCTCCAACACTGACTCAGCCAAAACTCACCACTGACCTTGACCTCCAGTAGTTTATTCTTATAGCCTTACTTATGTGAGGCGCTTTTATTCACTGACTTGACTCGGAGAATGTATTCTCATGAGTGTGGTATTGTAGGTTCG